GGGTCTGGGTCGCGAACCGCGGTCGACTACGTGGGAGTCCAGCGACATAGCCATTACACTAACTGCTGGTTCCCAAGGAATGAAAACTTTTAAACACAGAAACTATCAGAATCTTTCTACCATCATACCAGCCTGCAAATGCATTTTCCTTGCCCTTCTCTTAGTGTGGAAGATGTCTCTCTCCCCAAAGTCTTCTATTTGTGTTCTAGTTCAGTGATTCTCACACTTTAATGTGCACATAAATCACTTGGGAATCCTGTTAATACACAGATTCTGATTCAGTACGTCTAGAGTGGGGTCTGACATTCTGCATTTTTAACAAGCTCCCAGTTGATACTGATGCTGCTAGTGGATGGACCACACTTTCTTTTTAAGAATCATTTTATTTAAATTTATTTATTCATTTATTTTAATTTGCCTAGAGAGGGACAGAGAAAGACAGAGAGAAAGTGAGAAAGCAAGCTACCAGGTCTGGGACTTGAACCACGGTCGGCTATGTGTGAGTCTGGCGCCCCTAACCACCGTGTCGTCTGCCAGCCCAGTGGACCACACTTCTAAGTAAAAAGATCTAATTTACCTCTTCTCTTCCTGCTTTTCCTTATTCTCCTAGAAGTGCAAGAAAGACCTTCTCTTTCTCCCTCATGTTGGGTGAGTGTTTCTCTCACAAAAAAATACTGTGATCTCGCTATCTATACTACTGTCAAATTTTTACCTTTAGACCGCCAAGCTTGAGTTTATTATTTAAAGTTTAGAATACCTTTTCTCAAAAAGTCCTGCTATAAAGTAAAATTTCCTAATACTTACATGCTTCAAAAAGTCCATGGAAATAACGTATTATGAAAGCTATACATACTTTTTTTTTTTTAAAGAGAGATTTTTGTTGTAGAGCGTTTATGCCAGGTGGAGAGACAGAGAGACAGAAACTGAGAAATCAGACCCTGGGGGGGATGGCCATGCTATAATCCCTTCTCCTCCATTCTTCTCTCAGGATTTTGGGCATGCATGGACATGTGCCTGGTATGAGTTTAAAGCAGCCAGGTTCAGGACTTGAACCATGATCAATTATGTGAGAGTCCAGTGATATAACCATTACGCCATCTGCTGGTCCCAAGATTTTAGTTTTGTTTTTTTTTTCTTGCACCAAAATAAACTCATACTTTAATTCCATTTTTAAAAATTCCATTGTTGCACAAGCTGAATTTTCCTTGGAAAAGCATTCAACTTGAAAATTCAGAGCTGAATTTTCAGCTTGTTTCAGGTGTTATTCACACTCCCCTGGAGGAATAAATATTATTAATTCAGTGAGTAGGGAACTTTGATGAAACAAAATTTGTAGGGTATAAAAATATATCTGACAGGGACCAGCATGTGGCATAGTGGTCAAGGTGCTGGGCTCCCACAAAGCCAGCTGTGGTTTAAGTCCTGGACCTTGTGGCTTGAAACTCAAGCTGGATGCGTGTTTGTGCCTGCCCAAAACTAGAATACTGGGGAAGTAGCTTTATTGTTACACGATACGGTGGTGTGACCATCCCCCCGGGGGGGTGATTCCTACTTTCTCTGTCTATCTCAGCTCTCCAATGAGTACACATACCTTATAACAAAAATCTCTCTCTCAAAACAAAACAAAACAAAAACAAAAAAACCGACAGTATTTCAGAATTGTTATATGCATTAAACTTGTTATTCAGTTTGCTGAAGTAGAAA